TATGTGTGTGTGTGTGTGTATAATTAGAATATTAGAACACTTGGGTCAACTGTTCTTGTTTTTTGTGCCATTTAAATAAATTGACATTGATGTTGGCATATAATGAAATTTAAATTGTTCCAACAACACAGACAAAACCCATCTGAAAATGCTGGTTCTGTTTTCCGTTACTGGCGAGAGTAATTACAAGCGCAGTTGTACAGTCATTCCCCGGAAACCTCACGCAAGCTTGGGGTTGGCTTCAAGATTATTTAGGTGGCAGGAAGGGAGGCGGCACGCAACCGACTGACCAACCCAACCCAGACGTTTAACCCCAGACCTAAGTATCAGTGAGCATCTCAGCATCATTATTTCTACTAATTGTTTAAATAAATAAATCATACAAGCCAAGCATACGAAACATCATATCTCGTGAAGAAACCACAAAGAGCAGGATAAACTCGCAGGATAATGCCAGTCCGTTGCACAACAACTCATGTCGTTTGGCTTGAGGCACCACAACGAAGAAAAAAAACATTCCAACCCAAAGTGGCACATTCCACATCCACACATTATCACTGTGGGTGAGTTGGGAAATCATCTCTGCTGGCGAAGAGGCCACATTTGTCTTTTTGTAACAGATATGTGTCAGTTTGTCAGTGTTGTAATGTAACGAAGCAGAAATACTTGGTTACTGTACTTTAGTAGAATTTTGACGATTCTTTACTTCATTATTTACGTTTCTAGCAACTTTCACTTTTACTCCACTACATTTCCTCAATAAAATGTGTACTTTTACTCCGATACATCTCCCTTAAACGTCTTCGTTACTCTTTCCAGCAATATAAAATTAGAAGAAATCTGATTGGGTAATGCCTGTTTGTTGTCAAGGGCAACCAACGAAAGTAGCACTCTAGAACGTTCCGCCAAGCCAACCGCAGAGCAAGCGCTGTCGAGGCAAGTCTCATTATGGATGTGACCACCATGATGGAAGTTTCTAACAGTGACAGACTATTGGAGAGAGAGGAACTCTTTCATTGTCCACTTCAAACTTTCCAAGTTTTTGTCATTGGATATTGCACCCAATAAATGTTGTTTTGGAAATTCTAACCGTTTACTTTTACTTTAAGTACATTTTATATGAGAAATTTACTTTTGATACTTAAGTACATTAAATGTCAAATACTTTAAGACTTTTGCTTAAGTATTTTTTTAAGGAGACTAACTTTTACCAAAGTAATTTTATGGTAAGATACTCATACTTTCACTGAAGTATCACTTTGAGGTACTTTATACAACACTGCAGCTTGTATACTCCACTGTCAAACTACAGTGGACAAGTTGTAAACCCATCTTCATTATTTGCTTCCACTGTCTTGTAATCTTCTAAAGTGACCTTGGTCAACAGTTCTCCAGACCTCCTGAAGGTCTTTTAATGGTTAAAGTATTTGGACTTTGTCTACTTTTCTTAAAACTCATTTTCTCTCCAGTGCTGACATGGCAGCATGCTGAAAAAAATAATGCAATGTGAACAACTGGAGGACAAAAGAAGCTTCAGACTTTAAAAAATATGTCTACAGATGATCAGTCCCATGTGAAATAGATAAAAAAATCCAGCAAATATCTGACAAGACCTGAGGGACGCATAATAATTCAGCTGATCATTGATCATCAATCTGTATGCCAATCTTTCAACTAATAAATGGTTTAAATGTTGATTCTACTTCTATGAGAATGTTCTATTCATGTTTTATTGAGTCTCTTAAAGGAGCTGGTCACTGATTTCAGGAAAGATTCTTCAGTTGCCACTCCTGTGGTCATTAACGGTGAAGCTGTTGAGGTGCTGCATCAATAGAACTATCTGGGAACTGTTCTCGATGATAAACTGAACTTTGATGCAGCCTTTGAGTAAGTTGGTCAGTCTGTTTGTCCTGCATTTGGACAGCAGATATCTGCATCCAGATGGAAGCAACCTGAACTCTCCACTGTGTGGTGATCAGGATCTGCCAGAATCAGCCTGTCCTTGTTCACCGACATCGCCTTGTGTAGGTCAGTGAAGTTCTGTAGGGCTATGCCATCAGTTTTGCTGCACATCTTGACAATCTCCAAGAGGTTGATCCTGTTCTTGTATGTTAACAAACCAACAGATGAAGGTAAAAGTTAAAAGAGACTCAATAAAACATGAATAAAACATTCTCATAAAAGCAGAATCAACCTTAAAACCACAGAGCTTCCGATAAAAATACATTATCTGGCGGGAATTCTTACAAAGTGAGTTCACATGTGGGTCAAAGGTCAGTTTATCATCGAGAACAGTTTCCAGATAGTTATATTGTTGCACCACCTTAACAGCTTCACTGTTAATGACCACAGGAGTGGCAACTGAAGAGTCTTTCCTGAAATCAGTGACCATCTCCTTTGTCTTAGAAACATTTAGCTTTAAAAAGGAAGACGCACATCATTCAGTGAAGTCTCTGACCACAGGCCCAGGGTTTGGATCAGGCTTCTCGACAAACAGCGATTATTTCTGTACTGCTATTTTAATGTCTCAATGTTTTGTCTAGTACGGATGTTTTGTGTGCCTATGACTGTGAAACAAATTACCCCCTGGGGATAATCAAGATTCTTGAACTTGAATAGTTCTTTATTGTTGCGAAAAATAACATTTTAAGTGTCAAATTGTGTTGTCTTGGGAATTTATTCCAAACAAAATTAATGGTAATAAATAGGGGTGCACCGATTGCAGTTTTCTAGCTGAGCACCGATTTCTAAAAAGTCTGACCTGCCAGTTCCGATTTTGTTTTCTAAGCGACACCGTCAGGTGTTATAAGGTCACAATGCACCTTCAATTTTCCAATATTATTCTGTTGAAAAACATATCCCTGAACAATATCCTAGACACAATACAAACTTGCTTAACTGGCCATGAGGTAGTGCTCTGAAATATAAATGAAGTTTAGACAATTGTTGCAAAAACTACCAAAAAAATCGGTTTCTCATGCAAGTATCGTCCGATTTCCGATTTCCCAAAATTAAGGAAATCGGGGCCGATTTATCGTGCATTCCTAGTAATAAATTGTATTTTTGTGTCTAAGTGCCCAAAGATCCAACTGAATCATCTGTTAACACAAAACTGGATCAGCAGTTGTTTGTCCACATGGTTCATGTCAGAGTAAGTGGCTTATCAATTAAAAAGTCTTTCCAGTGTTCGTTAAACCGATGCAAATGGCCAGAGATTTACACTAAAATCGTCTTAAAACCCTGGAGTTGTATCCATTGTGATCAAACATTGTAAAATCTCGTGCAACATTTCAAGATCTGGACTGGGTTGAGAATGACTCTCAGGCATATCAGAGCAAACAGCTCAATGGAACTGGGAGTAGGAGCCATTTTTAAATTCCTCCTGAAGTTTCACACTAAAATCCCCTCAGACATAGGTGTTGCAACCATTATATGTGAAGGGGACATTAAAAAAACATTAATTTGGACCCCCCCCCCCCCCCACCCCCCCAACTTTTACTATGAAACAATGGTTCAGTCAGCGCAGTTTCTCTTTTTTCATAAACAAATCCATTCCACTTGATCAATAGGAAAATACTCAAGCCACTAAAAATCCACTCCAGGTTTTCCTGGTTACCTCCAACTCAGTTTCTCTGCGTCTCCTTCTGCCTTTGCAGAAAACACGCACAGGTGGAGGAGATGGAGACACCTCTGTGTTGTTCGCTCACCAACTTAGCAAGTTTAGTGTGGGCAGTTATTTACCAGGGGGTTGATCATAAATATATATTCATGTTAGGAGGATGCTTGAGAGAAGTGGAGCGCTACGTCTGTAGCATGTTAGCTTAGCAGTAACTGTGACGCTGAAAGACGCTGCAGGTGTAAGAGACGCTGTGTGTTCAGGTGCATTAAAGCTGAAATGTCTTTTAAACCCCACACCTTACTGTCCTCAAGCTTCGTTAGAAACATCCTTTAGATGAGTAGTGTTGAACACAAGTGGTGATATTTTTTTTATTTCTCCATTCATTCAACCTTTATTTTGACAGGTAATCCCATTGAGCCTTGAGGACTCATTTACAAGAGAGCTGATTTCAACAAAGAATGATGACAACAATGGACAACAGCGACAACAATAAACAATTATAAAAAGTCATACTGCAGTTTGTTTGTTTTTTACAAATAGGATGGCTAAAAGAAAAAGGTAACAAAAAGAAAAAACAGCTAGATTCTAAGGCAAATGTAGAAAACTAAAAACAGGAACATGTCTGCATTGGTCCCTGCCAGGAGTCCAACAGATTCTTAAAGCCACTTAGAGAGGTCAAGGCCCATAAACACAAATAGTGCAGATCAGAGGCTGTGTGTGTTAAAGTGCATTCAAGTTGAAATGTCTTTAAAACCCACAGCTGAATTTACACAAACTTAGTGAGAAACACGCTTTAAAGGAATCAAAGTAAGGAAATATAAATGAAATGTTGCTTTTTTGTACACTACGCGCATGCACACACACACACACACACACACACACACACACACACACACACACACACACACACACACACACACACACACACACACACACAATAGTGTCCCCCCCCACACACACACACACACACACACACTCTACAGATGCTTCTGACGCCCGTGCCGTGAGAGGCACGTGTCGTGTGTTTGGAAGCGGCAGCATTCTTCACATGGTTCTTGGCACACGCAAATATTCAGGAAAACGATGAATATGCGAGTTGCGCACGCGTAACACATTTCCAGAAATGAACAGTCCGACTCGTGCAGCCTCGAGAAGCTCCAGCTGCACAGCACCAACACGATCAGCTGCTCCACATCAGTTTCAGTCCTGCTCAAGACGTTTTGGTTCTCGTCTTGCAAATAAATATCCATGTTCGGTTTGAATCCGTTCCAATGGGTCAGAGACGAAAAGGAACCGCTGAGCACCGAGGCGCATTCGCTCACTGAAGAAGAAAACGCCAAACGCTCACGCTTGGTTTGAACTTTTTGTGTGTAAAACTTACCAACCAACACGCACAGCACATCCATCACCACGAACAGCTTCTTCTTCATCAGATCCTCCATCTTCTTCTGCTTCTTTATGTGTGGAACATCAGGAAATGGTCGGTTTTTCGGGGATAGTCACAGAAGCGGGTGCTCGCCCTCTCTGACATAAAAGCTGCGGAGAACCTGCACGACTGGTTTTTCCGGGTTCTGTGTCGAGTGATCATTACCTGTGCTGGCATCGAAAGCAGACTCGTGCGTGCGCGCGTGTGTGTGTTTAGCTTAAAGACGATGCAGCTTCCTCTGTGCGCGTTACAGCTGCGATCCTGAAGTTTTCATCTCTCTCTCTCTCTCTCTCTCTCTCTCTCTCTCTCTCTCTCTCTCTCTCTCTCTCTCTCTCTC